AGAGCAGGGGGGGCTGGGAGCCAGGACTCCTGGGTTCTCTCCCCCGGCTCTGGATGGGAAGTGGGGTCTGGTGGGTTAGACCCAGGGGGCTGGGAGCCAGGACTCCTGGGTTCTCTCCCCCGGCTCTGGATGGGAAGTGGGGTCTGGTGGGTTAGACCCAGGGGGGCTGGGAGCCAGGACTCCTGAAATAGGTGAGTGAAGGGTGGTGGGGGGGGTTCCAGCTGGGCTCCGGCCCAACAATGGATCTGCCCGGGCTCAGAACTCTCCACTCGCTGGTTTTGTTCGGAGTTTTTTGGGGGGTGGGGGATTTTTTTGGCAGAAAAAAAAATTGAAGAAAAAGACGTGGAAAAAAAATCAATGTTTTTGTACAAAAATACCCCTCCCCGATAATTTCGGGGTTTGGGGGGAGGGGAGGGCACGAGATGGCGACAGGACGGCCGGACAGAGACCCTGGGGGGGGGGGCAGCCGCTCTGTCGGGGGAGGGAGAGCATTGGGCTGGGGCGGGGGTGGCAGTGTGGGGGTTCGCTCAGATCTTTGGTTCTTGTCCAGCCCCTCCCCCCTTTTTCGGGGTGCCGGGGGGCACGGACTGTTCTCGTTTATTTTCTTTTTGATATAAAAACTGATGGAATTAAACTAACTGACCAAACAGTGTTTTCTTCGAGCCAGGGGAACGCAGGGCCCGTCTCCCGGAGTGCCCGGACACCTGGGTTCTTTCCTTGGCTCCAGGAGGGGAATGGGGGCTGGTGGGTTAGAGCGGGGGGGCTGGGAGCCAGGACTCCTGGGTTCTCTCGCCGGCTCTGGGAGGGGAGTGGGGGCTGGTGGGTTAGAGAAGGGGGGCTGGGAGTCAGGACTCCTGGGTTCTCTCGCCGGCTCTGGGAGGGGACGGGGGCTGGTGGGTTAGAGCGGGGGGGCTGGGAGCCAGGACTCCTGGGTTCAATCCCTGATTCTTGCCATCAGTCACTATTGGCCGTTGTGGAAGAAATCCCTTCTCTGCCTTTTCCCCCCTGCAAGCTGGGTCGGGCGAGCGCAGTTTGAATGCAGACCCCGGCTATGCCAGCCTCGGCCTCTCCCAGCTCAGGGGCGCTGGTGCGCCCGGGGCAGAGTTCGGGCCAGGAAGCAGCTGGCTCCCCTGGCATCTGAACCGAAACCTCCATCTGTGCTTTGGTTTCCTGCTTTCGGGGCCGACCCTGCCCCCGAAATTTCGATTCAAAGGTCACAGATTTCTCTTTCTTCGAAAACAGCTAGCATGATAAGATCTGGGGCATGGGGTGAGGGGGAGACATGCAGCCACGTCTGGGATGGAGCAGCCACACAGGGACGCCTCGCCTGGCACTGAGATGCAGCCACCTCTGGGGTGGGACAACTGGGGAACAGCCACACATAACGCTGCATGGTGCTGGCTTGCCTGGTGCTGAGATGCAGCCACCTGTGGGGTGGGCTGGCTGGGGAGCAGTTTGGGACAGGAAGTGAAGCTGATGCCTGTTTCTGAGTGCAACTGGAGTGGAAATTTCGAGCTGGAGAATGGGTGCCTCCGAGCTGGGATTCAGCCCGGATGCCGGGGTTCAATCCCTCAATTTTAGGGGGGGAAAAGCCAGGCTGGGGGAAAACGCCCCTTGCAGAGCCCCCCCCCCCCCCTGCATGCTACTGCCCCTCACGTGGGGCAGGGGAGGCATTATCTTTTGCTCCCCTCCAGGCTGTTCTTTATGAGGCCGACGGCTATTTGCAGCACGACTAATATTTGCTTTGCCATGTGCAATGCACAATGCACTATTGTTTGTAGTGCATTCTCACGTGCAAGGCACCATTATTCACGGGGGCCCCATTATTGGCAGGGCTCTATTGTTTGCAGTGCATTACTACGTGTAATGCACCATTGCACACAATGCATTGTATGCACTGCACTCTCGTGTGCAACGCACCATTATTTGCGGGGCTCTATTCTGT